AGAAAAGGGCTAGATAATGCTGGGCATTGTCCAGCTTCAAATGCACATTTTGAAAAGCTCACAATGTCCAGTGAAATCAGAATAATCAGATTTCAGTAGAGGAGAGGAGCCTGCACTACTGTACACACAAATATATATACTTCAGTACAGCACATCATCATGCTGTGCTACCTGTATTACCACTAAATAAGATGCAATGCAGCAGCCAAAGGCAAATTCTCTTTGTCTCTCCCTGTTGAACATCCATAGGTATCAACTGCTCTTAAAAACGTTTTTGCGTTCTTATATCACATGCTGGTACGTCATGAAATTCTGAAGAGCTGTAACTTGCCCTTGGTTAGTACAGAAAGAATGACTGTCCACAATGGATGCCTGCACTGGAAGAATTATTTTCAAAGCAGAAAGAATAGAGCTCAATGCACTGGGGCCCCTGGAGCAAGTTCTTGAAAGATACACTTGTTCAGAGTGAACATGCATGCAATATTTCAGGGGTTCTGTATGCGCAGAATACTCTCAGCAGGGCTGACATGTGCCCAGTTCTGAGTCCAAAACCACATAGCATTACCCCAACACTTGTTGATGTGCAGTATATGACAGTATATGACAGTACAGTATATGACAGTACATTGCTGTTTATCCTGGATAGCACCCAATTCACATATACAATAAGGGCTCATGCACCAGGGCGTACATTACTCTGCACTTCAAATTCTGCAGTATTGTGTTCTATGAGCCCACACACACTGGTCTGTATTGGTCATTGTGTAAACTAAAAATCGAAAAGTCTGTTTGAGGACGGACATATAGAACGAATTTTACTCTGTATGCATGTAATCTTTTGTGCTAAGGTTTACATGCATACAGTGCAAACCAGGGGTGAACTGACAACTCATGGGGCCCCCAGGCAATAGGGGATCATGGGGCCCGTGTCCTTGCCCAAACTCAAAAAAGCCTATGAAAAAGGTACCAGGGGAATCTCATGGGGCCCCCTACTGACCCCGGGCCCTCGGGCAGTGCCCGAGTTTCCAAATGGTCAGTCCGCCCCTGGTGCAAACGCACTGGAGCCTCCTGCATCCTAGCAACAAAAGACACTGGCAAGATCTGGCAAGGACCACCTGCGTCTTAGCAACCAATAAGGTACATTTTCACTAAATACTGTACGCATGTTACCCTTTGTGCAAATGTTATACTGTATGCGTACAGTGCACAGACAAGATTTTACGTAGGTTCTTGCTGGTGGTGCGTTACCCCTAAGTGGAGCAGGTGTTTCATTTAATGACTGATGAAGGGGCAAGTGAATTAGCTGCCCTAAATCCCAATAGAACCCTCTGAATTTTTTACTGTAATGCAGTCAGGCTGCATATACGGTGATGAATATTGCTTTTTTTTTTTTTTTTTTTTCACTGCTATCTTGCTAGGTGGCGAGTTAAAAAAAACAAAAACCCCTGTGCTAGCAGTACTCAAAGTCTGACGCTAGGGGTGGAACTGACTAATCAATACTACTCACAAAGCAAGAGTAACGTTTATTGGAACCGTGTTCTGCTGGAGAGCTGGTGTGTGACAGCTGAGGTCCAACTCTCATATGTGCTACCAACATAGGGGCTTTTAACCCGTGTTAAAGTATAGCTAATAAAAAAAAAGGACATTTTATATATTATGCAGCCTGAGTGTATTACAGTTATAGAGTAAGAGGATTCAATTGGGCTTTAATATATAGTTCTCAAACAGAATTTTGGATGATCAAAAGGTGACTTCTACAAACTTCCAGTGATCAGTAACATTGTGTGGGTACAGAAAGCAGCTCTGGTTGTTTGGATGCTACAATTCTTAAGCTGTATTATTCTGCAAAAATCCAAGATGAGAAAATGCTGGTTATTGTAGGTTCTGGGGACAAAGACTCTCACAATGTCTGGCAATGGCCTACAGCACAAGATCCTTATTTCTTTATGGAAGAGACTGGAAAAGGCTTTTGAAACCAAAGTACCGTCCAGGCAGAGTGTCCAAGTAAACAATCCATGACATTCAATGTAACCAGTGCCAGAGTCATAGTTCAATAGATGCTAAAAAAAAAAAGTCTAATTTTTTTTCCTTTAGGCAGTAAGCATTTGTGCAGCTACAGCAGCATTAACATGAAAAGGAATCTGCCACTTTAGAAACAACACATTTATCAGTTTGGTACAAATATTCTAATTTCTAATTAATTTAAAGTAAACCTGCAAGGAAGACAAAATATGCTGATGTCCTTGATTTGCCAAAATACAATAAAAAAAAAAAAAAAGATAAATCAGAGAGACCCTGTCACTTCACCCATCCAGGGCTAAGTGACAGAGTCTGTGTAAAGCCTACCACCTGATCACTGAGGGACATTTATCAATTCACACAGTAAGGCAATGCTAAGAGAAACAGGAGCAGTAATATAGATTTACTACAAGGTCAACCACTTCTAGTCCATGGTAAGGTTTTCTTTTTTTCACACACATTTTTTTCTAGAAAATTACTTACATTTTCTGATAACAGAGGCCCTGGAGAATAAAATGATGGCGTCGCAGTTTTCTGTCACATGATAATTGCTCAGCCATTTATCAAGTAACAAGTGCAAATTTTCAAGAAAAAAAATACACAAAATTAATATTAAATGACCACAAATACAACAGAATACCCATTTTTGGTAAAACATGATGTTGCATGGAGTAAATAGATGCCAAATATGTCAAGAATTAAAATTGCACACACCTGTGAAATGGCGAAAAACTATGATGCCTAAAATTGTCCATAAAAGTCCAAAAGGATCTTTTTATGGAGGGGGGGGGGGGGGGGGGTGGCATTTGATAGCACTGTAAAAGTGATTGGGTGTAAAGCCACCCGATCTCTTTTACAGAACTGTCTGCTGAAAAGAAATTATATCGAGCTGCATGGCGGCTGCAGCCTGGTCTTGTAATTACCACTTGCTGACATGCTTTTAAAATACATACATCAGTCAGTAAAGTGGTCAAAGCTTGATTCGTAAATTCTCAGCTACTCTAAAGTAGCACAGTGAAAAAATGAAGCCTAGCCCTGGCCACTTCTTAATGGTGTGTCTGCTTACAATGAAAATGTATGGTTCTAAATCTGGCTAAACTGGCTGTCCAGTATATATATCCCCTTTTAATGCTCACTTGTCTTTTCTCCATCGCAGCTGCAACCAAAACATCCGATGTCATAATTCAGAGGGAGTGATGACATCATGCCCCTCTACCATGTGACAGTGTTAAGACATAGTGAATGGCCACAAGGCCCAAGCACTGATTTATGGGAGGTTGCATGCTTCATATACCTAGAAGTCCTGGAGATAAAGTGCTTGGGCAAGGCGACAGGGTCTCTTTAAACATAATGCTTCAATGAAGTCACCATATTGTTCCCCAATGCTAGAGCACCAGCAAATAGGCAATACTTCTGAATTTTTGTTGGGTGCCAGTATACAGCCTTCCCTGTTTCCCACAGTGCAGTGATTGGTGCATGAGTGGCCAGTCCACAGTCCCAGTGCTGAAAGTTGTGGAATGGAGGACAACTTGCTTATCCCAATGCTAGTTTCGACTTGCTGGGGTCACTTTGTGCTAAAATGGACACAGGAAGTCACATTCTCTGTTGAGAATGGCAAGTTGTTTTTTTGAAAAAGGGGTAGCTCACCTATGTCTATCCTGGCAGCAGAGACAGATGTTTCAGGAAGTGTGGTCAGCGTGGGGATATTCTGCACATCTAGTGGTCATGCCCACAATTGATAGGCTTCTGGTCCAGGGTTTTTGGCCTATTGCAGACTCTATTTCATGTGATAATACGCAAGGACGCCAGATTGGCTCTCCTACACTGTCCTATACTGGGGCTTTTCACACCCCAGCAGCAATTGGCTTCATATCTTTTCATCTCTGCTAAGAGGATCATTGCCTGTGCTTGGAAGACTCTGTCCATTGCCTTCGAGGGTGTGAAAACCCAGATGACCGCACTGATGGTCAATGAGCAGACGTCCAGTATCCAAATGGATTTGCACGCAAAAATCCTTAACGTCTGGTAATCTTGAACAAGCTAATCCTTCCCATCTTTGCCTACGACTAGCTATGGTTGTTTATAGGTGTCGCTTGCACCAGTCCCAAATCGAAAGTGGTACTTTCCCGAGTGGCACTTCACAGTGGGCTAACTGTGAGCTTATTATGTTTTCTCTGAACATACTATAAACAAATTGGAATGGAAAAAGGGGTAGATCTGAAAAAAAATTATTTTGGCAAATAAAGGAAATTAGAAAATGTCATAACGTTCAAACAAATTGATGAAGATATTCCCAAACTGGCAGGTCTTTTCAAGCTGCAATTTGAATTCTCTAAAGTCACAATGTTACAAAATTCCAAAGTGAACTACGCTGTAAAAGAAGGTCTATACTTGCCTCTGATGGGCTGTGTGTTAAATCACTGCTCTCAAAAGAACTGCAAAAGAGCTACTTGACACTTCCAGGCAGTCAAATAGTGTGTTCCCCACTGGGCACTCTTGGTTTCTTCAAGTTGGCTCTTTCATCACTACAGAACACTGTTGTGACATAGTGGCTTGTGGGAGGAACTACAGCACGGGGTGGACACTCTCTCTGATATAACTAGAAGTGTCAGATAGCATCAAGGGATGGAGTATTTCAAGGGAGCAAAGTTTCAACACTGGCCATCATAAATGTAACTGTTAATCTTCTTTTACAGGGCAGCTCTATTTAATATACTGACTTAGTAATTTCAAGGTTGCAGTCACTCCACTGTACCATTTAACTAAACTGGATAACTCCATATTTCCCAGATACCATCCACTCTGGTTCTGAAGCCCCAAGTCGTTCTCCTACCCCGGCTTTTAATCCTACTTGTACATCAGCTTTTAGAGTTCTGATGCTGCACAGTGGTGCTGGATGAAAGGTTTTCAGAACCTGAGAAAATGGAACAGTGAAGTCCCATTTTCTGTCTCCAGTGAGTTTCCTGTAGTTCAAATCTCCTTTAAAAAAAAATCAAATCAGACTTTTTCAGCTCTGTGTACAGATCTGGAGCGATTTTCTCCATGCTCCAAAACTCATGCGGCAGAGTCCAGAAGATATGCTCATGATAGACCCAGGAACCCTTCTTCAGATTCTCCTTCCATGTCTGACCACACTTTGACATCCACTTGTGATTGGCTGCTAGTGACTGTTGGATTGTCCAATCAAAGTCATGCTTTGTGGTGTCTGAAACAAACCAAGGAATGCATTTGCCATGAAAATGAACTTCAGTGGCCAGGTTAAAAAACAAAATGGCATCAGCTAAAATGAAGTCTGTTACTAGCTCAAATCCGGCATTATCCAGAACAATGTCAACTCTGGTCTTCAAAGCTTTCTCTGAGCTGACATCCTTATTCTTTGTGAGGGTGTTCCAGAGGGACTCCATATTATCCACCAATATAAATGGTTTGAGGGACTCCAGAGAAGAAAGAATGCTGATTTTCTGAGAATTGTCCCGACCCCCAGAAATAGAAAGGTCACACTTGTTTCCCCATAAAGAGACCTAGTAAAAGGAATAAAAACATAATTAAAAGCAATATTCCAGTTTTTATTTTAACAAATAAAATAAATTGCTCTGATGTTTCAAAAATAAATATGGCTCTTCTAGATAAAATGATGGCTGTCATCATTCAACCCACTTTCTGTCATGGACATAGCCACAAGGTCTGGGTTTAATAATGCTGCAGAAAAGAGTGCATCTCTACAACATTCAGGATTGCCCAGCACCAATGCGGGAGCAGAAGAGAAGAATCCGTGACATCATTTGACCAGCGAGAAAGCAGCTAGATTTAAAGGTATGTAATCAAAAATACATGTGGCAGAGGGGTGTGGAGGAAGGGATTTCAGAAATGTAGCTTTATTCACCCTTTGGAAATGAATCTTTCATGCTTGAAGCTGAACTTAAGGCAAAAAAAATCATATGCGCAGGATCTCAAGTACTGAATATGCCCCACTTATCTCTCTGATCCTATTCTTGCACAATTCTGCAGTCCCTACTCCAAAAATCATGCTAATGGTAGTCCACTGTCGGGTAGGTTACCACAGCTTGACTTTGTGGAGCAGAACTAAAGAGTAATTTGAACTCTGTTATGCATATGCACAGAATTCCAGGCACATCATTATAGCATATGAGGTTCAAAAGTAATCATGACAATTAAGATTGCAGATAGTAAGATAAAAAAAAACTACATCAATGAAAAAAAAGGATTGTTTTATCAAGATCAACTAAAGCACAAAAATAAATAAAAGAAAACAAACCCTTGTATCTCCAGAACTGGAAATCTAGTATGTCTATGGAAGCCAAAAAAACCTTACAAAGAGTGGACAAGTTTGCTTTGCCTGGATAAAAAATTTCTTCCTGATCCCCAAAGGCAATCAGACACTCCCTATGTCAACAATCGTCAGTGTTATTTCTTATACCTGCAATAGCCAATTGCATATTGCACTTTTAGAAACACATCCAGCCTTCTTCTTAAAGATACATAGTCCTGACTTCCACGTCTGAAAGGGACTGAATCTCTTTCATATGAGCAATTCCCAAAGTGACTCAAGAATAGTAAGACGGTGGCTTCCACGAAAAAGCAATAGTTGATGAATTGTTAAAACCCCTGGCAGCTTTTTATTTTTTTTTGCGGTTTCTATCCCCACTGGGTAAATTTACTCTCTCTCTGTTTATGACAGAAAAAGTGGTGAGAAATACAAAATTGAAAGCAGTTTTGTTATACTCACCTGCTCTGTGCAATAGTATTGCACAGAGCAGCCCCAAACCTCCTCCTCTGGGTTCCCCACGTGCAATTTTGGCTCCCCCTTTTTTCTGTTTGCCCCCAAAGTAAGTGTTGGAAATGGGGGTAGATGTGCAGTCTCAATTCCAAGCCAGGCTGTGTGTGTCCATCGACACACACAGTGTTGCTCAGCCCCAGCCCCCAATCTCTGTTCACAGGATTTGACAGACAGCAGCAGGAGCCATTGGCTCCCCATACCCTCAGCCAAGCTTGTGAGAGCCAGATGAGAGGAGAGAAGACTGGCAGATGGGCACAGCACTGGATCGATACATGTAAGTATTTGGAGGAATGGGGTGGTGGGGATGAGATCAAGTACTAAAATGTTTTTTACACTAATGCAGGGAATGCATTAAAGTAAAACATGTTTTACATTTAGAACTACAGTTGTCAAAAGGAACAGGAGGAGATAGGAATCTTTTCATAGAATTCTTAAAATTTCAGAGATTTGAAAAAAAAAAAAACCCAAAAAACTAAAAACTGACAGCTATTGGGGAGAATCCCGCTTCTTAAGGGCTTGTTTACACTTGCTTCAATATATGGCATTGGACGCGCTTTTATAAATGACTGAATGCCAATCAAAGCCCCTCTCACTAAATAAAATGGTAAGTTTCCAGTCCTGTTCACACGTTGCCATGCTTTGCTTCAAAAATGATACCCCGTATTGCTTTCTTGGTGCTTCAAAGTGCCTCCAAAGCCTCTATTGAAGTCTATGACAAAGCTCACTAACAGCATCTGCAGCTTTTGAGGGGCCTTTTCTGTTTCCAGTGGTATTCAATACTAAAGCTTTTCCCTGGGCAGTTTGACAAATTGCCCGAAGGGGTAGGCTCTTGATGCCCCAGGCTCACAGGACCTGTAATTAATGATGTTGGGTGTCATTCAACCCTGTGTGTAGCATGGAGAACCCGACTTAATTATTTTTTTTTTTTTTTTTGGGGGGCAACTGGGATTACCCAACAGGATTCGGTAAGGGGCCTATTGAAAAAAAAAAAAATAAATAATATGACACAAGAGTTTGACTGTAATCAATCATTTTCCAATGAGTATATAAGAGGAAGGAAGTTTTTTTAGTATTCTTGAACACTGCTTGGTCATTGATTTCTCTGACCCAAAGCCAGCATGAAGCCTAGCTCAGAGTGAGGCAGCTCCCTTTAGAAACTTTAGACACAAAATATACTGTTTTCATGATAGGTTCACATCTATTTTCCCAGCGCAACCCACCTGCAGTAGTCTATAGAACTCCTCTCGGTGCTGTTCTTTGCTCAGGCTTGCAATGGTTTTTTTAAGCTCCTGTAGATGAGTGCAGAGGGTGATCATTGCTTGCTGAGACTGAAAGAAACTTTCATTCTTTACATCCCTGAAGACATCAAACTCAGAGATTGGAGGGCTGTGGGAAAGTAGGATAAAGAACAGGATGCAGGATCTTCAAATGATTTAAGTGAAAATAAAATGTTGTTTCGCAAACTGTAAACTTTGTGTATGCACTGAAAAAAGATAGGATACAGGAATCATTACATTCGAGCAGCACAGTGGCTAAGTGGTTAGCACTCTCACCTAGCAACACTAGGGTCATTGGTTTGAATCCCAACCACGGCACTACCTGCATGGAGTTTGCATGTTCTCACTGTGCCTGTGTGGGTTTCCTCACACACTCCAAATACATGCTGGTAGGTATATTGGCCCTAGTATGTGTGTGTGTACAAATTAGATTGTAGGCACTGAGGGCTAGGGACTGATGCGAATGTACAATATATATGTAAAAACGTTGTGTAAATTGATGGAGCTATATAATTACCTGTAGTAAATAAATAAAATTACAGCCCAACCTGGGATTTCCATCACTTCCTGTTTTGGCTATAGGACAGGAAGTGAAGGGAAATCTTCCCAATAGGCACAGATGATGAAAAAAGTATAGGGGTTATAACTCTCCCTTACTCAATCCAAAAAAAAAAAAAAAAGTTTTACCTGTAGTTGTACCTTAAAGTAGATCTGTTATGAATATGTTACAGTTTTTTTTGTCTTTAAAAAATTAAGTAGCCCAGCATTATTAGGACCTGCATCAACAGACCAATGTTTGCTGTTCTATACATGACTATGGGAATGCAAAACCTGCTTGAAGCAGGTCACATGTAAGTCAGAAGGCAGTCAACTGCAGGTGAAATGCACCTGTCAATGAATTCTGAATGATCTCAGAAGCATAGCAAACTGATGAAGGGATTCACGATTTATATGGAACAATGCTTGGGACATGCAGTTTTTTTTTTTTTTACATTAGCCATGCCCCCTGCTGCAGGCAAACAGCCTCACTTGAAGTCAATGGGATTTTGCATTCAAATCAATGGGGCGTGATTTTGCATTGAAGTCAACGGCGTCCCATTGGCTTCAATGCATAAACGCCTCCCATTGACTTCAATGCAAAAACGCCTCCCATTGACTGCAATGCAAAAACGCCTCCCATTGACTTCAATGGAGAAACACCTCCCATTGACTTCAATGCAAAAATTCCTGTCAACAGCAATCCTATGTGAACACTTATTACCGCATGCCACTCTACTCTATCACTTGCAAGTCTGGAACACACCGCTACAAACTCGTACAGGACCCAGTTTTTCGCAATGGTACTCAAAACGCAATTCGTGGATCGCATCTGTGTGAACCACCTCAAAAAGAACACATAATATCTAGCCGGTCATGTGAATCTGTTTGAAAACGCATCCAGAATCACATGTGTGTGAACCAGGGCATTTTGGGATTGTGGCAGAATCAATTCTGACACTTTTGCAAAACACAGGTTCAGCTGCCTTTATTTTCAATGGCATCTAAAACGTGGTACAGTGACATGACTGTCGTGTGACAAATCACATTGCGTAAAGCTTGCTGCCCCATAGAAGCTACTGCTCCTTTTCTAGGGGACAAGCTTCACGTGATGCAAATTGCCGCACAGTAAATCGCACGGCAAATCACTTCGCGCAACGTTTTTTGCAAAAAAAGCTCCTTTTTCAGTGACAAGCTTTATACGATGCGATTTGCTGAGATTGCCGTGCAGTAAATTGTGTGACACTCGCAGCAAAACCGCACCGTGTTTAAGGTTCCATTGAAAATAATGACACCTGAACCTGCGTTTTGCAATGGTAGTGTGTTGTGAGATTTCGGGCAGAATCGCAGTGATTCTGCTGCAATCCCAAAGCACCCAGGTGTAAAACAGGGCCTAATGGTGGCCAGCGGAGCTTGATTTGGCTGCTCAGCAGGCGCTAGTACTGAGCAGTCAAGTGCTTACATGTGTGAGGGCAACATGAAGGAATAAAGTTTTTTGTTTTTTCTCTCGTTGGGGCCAACACCTCATTTATTTGCCCAAAAGATGCACTTCTGCTGAGCGTTAAAAGAGCCCGACACTCCCCTTTCCTGACGAGCACCCAATTGGGTCTCATTACACTGCAAGGTCTCTCCCCTCCCTACTTGTCCCCGGATGTGGTGATGGAGACAGGCAGGGAGACGAATAGGAGATAAACAGCGCAATGTTCAAAACATTAAAGGTTTAAAGTGTTACCAAACCCACAACAGTAAAATCACTCTGTATATGTAGTAAAGTGTGCTTGTTGTACTCACTCTAGAACCTAAGGGGTTAATCCTTTGCATTGTGTAAAAAGGCTGTTTGATCCTGTCTTCTCTGTTTCTCCCCTTTTTCTAGTGTCCCCCTCTTATCTCCTGATGATAACCCATATCATGGAGACTCTCTGCACATGCTCAGTTTACTGTGTATTGCTAGAGAGTGTTTTTTTTTTTTTTCTTGGGAGAGTGCATGTGGATCAGCACAGGGGCAATCAGCACTGTCCAGACAGAGGTCAGTGGTTCTACATCCTCCTAGAGAAGCTTTAACATGTGCTCTGCTGGACACTGATAGAAGTCGAAAGACTGCTATAAAAAAAAACTGCTGATGAGAAAAAGGTATTTAAACACATTTACTAAAATAACTGCATTTCCAAGTAGTGTGTACTGTGGGAGACCAGATACTGTGGGAGACCAGAGTGAATGCAGGGTCCTGGGTTTAGTAACACTTTAAAGCCCCTTTGTGTTTAAAAGCCCCAGATTTAAATATGGTTTTGGTTAAAATAGTTTTTTTTATTAGGCAAAGTAGATTGTCACAAGGGACAGGTAGATCGGGACTCTGATTTAGTGCCTTGGACAAGTAGTTTTTTAAAAAATTTCCACACCCCTGCTGATGCCATCGACACAGGACTTAAAAATATATATATGCAACTCTGTCCCAACTAAAAATAGAAAATTTATTTCGGGAAGGGTCTTACTTTGAGGGCCTAATCACACTTGTCCATTTTTATTCAGCAACACTCTACAAAAACCTATTATTACTAACATGTATGATGTGCATCTATGCTCTGTACCTTAGTGTTACTAAGAAGTGGGAATTGTATTCACACCAACATGTGTCCTGCATGCATACAGAACAGTGTCAATCCAGCCCAACTCTGTGTCTATACATAGACATAGGTGTGTGTAGCAATACTTACATACCTGAGTGAAATCCCCTCATGGATTCTGCGGTAGAGATAACACTCCACATATAGCCATGAAGATCGGAACCAGCTTGGATCTTCACCGTTATCAAGCAGTGTCTTTTGGTAGTCCAGGTATTGGTTCCAGATGTCTATATCCTGCCAGTTATCATTCAATGGAAGAATGGGCTTATTTGTCTGCATCTCATTACGCAGTTTTGAGAAGAAAGATATAGCCTTCTTTTCTGCCTCCACTCCTTCCTGGGAAAAAAAAAAAAATGCTGTAAAGCAAAAAATAGCACAACTGGCCACTAGAAGGCGCAAAGTATCATAGGGATTGCCTAGGACAGCCTCTCTCAATCAGGGTGCCCAGGCACCCTGGGGTGCCTTGGCAAAAGGTCTAAGAATTGCCCAAAACTTGTATACAAGCCAGCGGGTGGAACAAGCCTGCCTTTTAGTTACACAAAGTCACAGGTTTTCATTGTGCCCCATAACAACCTTCTAGCCCCCGGCATCCTGACAACCAATGACATCAGTTGATAGGGGGATGTCAGCTGCCTGCACGGCATCCTAGTTTGACCCTCCCCTGCCCCTCTCCATCAGTGCTGGGGTCACATTAGCTCAATGATGGAGAAAAACTGAGGGAGAAGAGAAACATGGGAATACTAGTCAGTACCAGTGTGCAAAAGTGTATTTGCTTTGGAAGAATAAATCACCTCTAATGTTGGGTGTCCTATGTGTGTGAATGTTGCTGTATTATATAAAACGATTAGAATAGTTTTTCACATTTTAGAATGGGGTGCCTCGGGGACTGTCCATAATTTTCAAGGGTGCCTCGGGACTGTCCATAATTTGCAAGGGTGTCTTGACTGAAAAAAGGTTGAGAATCACTGGCCTACAATACCGGATGCCATCTAGTGGCCAAACACAGTTTTTACGCTTTAAAATCAATGAAAAACCTTCTACCAGCACGATAAATAGCCTAATAACATTTGTTTTTATGCCCCAATCACATAGAACGAGTGTACATGCACTTTCATCAGGTGTATTGCTGTGCAATTGTTTTAAAATACACCCCTGAGTGTATTTCACCAGTGTACTTATCATTCAGTGTTGTTGTAACCTGTAATAGAAACAAACCACAAGCTCCCAGTCTGGACAGGCAACCTGTCAATTATCTTGTCATTTTAGAGCTATTATGTCAGCAGGAACTAGTAGGCATTTTGCTCCAGTACTTCCGATTAAGGACTGATTCACAATTTTGCCATACAGCAATGCTCTTTGGCGAGATGCAGTGCCACTGAAGGCTTCTGAAGCAGTCATGATTGGATGAAAAAAAAGCGTCAAGGGTGTGGCCAGATTGTTGGTTGCATGCCCCAGTTAGTGTTCCTTGCCTCCGTTCACCGACAGGGGAGCTGGTCACGGACCCCAAGAACATTATGTCCATATTCTCGGACTACTATTCCTCTTATTATGCTCCCATCCCTTCGTATAATGTCACAGAATTGGCTGCCTTTCTGGCGAGTATTCCCATGCTCTCCTTAAATGTGGAGGAGAGCGCTTGGCTTGAGTGTAACATTACCATTACAGACATCCAGGCGGCCATCACTTCATGGATGGCTCTTAAAATATCTCTATTTCTTTTTAAAATGTCCACTATCTCCCCCTTCTTTTTGAGATTAGCAGGGGCGCTAGGCAAGGGTGTCCTCTTCCTGTTTTCCTTAATGATAAAACCATTAGCTGTGGTGTTCCATTTTTCCCCTGAGACTGGTGTACTGGAGGTGGGTTCCATTAAAGAATGTTTGGCATTGTACACAAATGACTTCTTACTATTTATTTTTTTCAAGCGGTTTCAATTTACTTATCTAGGCATTCACATTTCAGCCAGGGTTGTGTATTACTTTTCGTTTAATTTGCAGCCGCTGTTGGACTTTTTAAAAAGGAAAACTAAGGCGTAGGAGAGTTTCCCTTTGTCGGTGATGGTGAGCATTAACCTCAAAATGAAGTCCCTCCCAGTCTTTTTGTATTTCTTCGCAATCCACTCATATGGGTCTCACGTTTCTTTTCTCCTCGGGTTCACTGCCTATTTGGTTCCTTCATTTGGGACCTCTCCCCTCTATGGACTCCGGGCTCTTCAGGAGCCATGGGGGCAGGGAGGTCTGGCCCTCCCAGACCTTTAGAAATTTCTGGGGGGGGCAGGGCAGGGTGTCTGCCAGATGAAGGGAGAAATGGGTGGAATATGTTCCTGAACTTAATGGGGAGGATTGGGATGACATGTGGAGTTTCCCCTTTGCACATTTAGTGTCAGCCAGGAATAGGTTAATCCATTTTAAATTTCTACACATAATATACTGTACATTTGCCTGTATTTATCTGCAGGTGTCTGCAGAGTGTTGGCACTGCTCGTTCTCCCTGGCTACATTAAGACATGTTTTGGTATTGTTCCTTGGCCCAGGACTTTTGGAAGGGTATCCTGCGTTGCATTATGCGGGTTACCTCATTGACTTTTGCTATAACGGTCTTGGTTTGTCTTTTGGGTCTAGGGGAGGGCTTGGCACCTACTAGGGCTCAACGTACCCTGCTCCGTCTCTTATTATTCTATGTTCGAAAGGCACTGATTCTGTACTGGAAAAAGCAATTGACACCCCACTGGCTTATTGGAAAGAGCTGGTGAACAAAATGGTCCCGTTTTATAAATCTACTTGTAAAAAAACTTTGAGAAAATCTGGCAGTCCTGGCTGGATAGTCCCTCCACTACCTCGTAGAGGCAAACACCCATTGCTCTAGTTTACGGTTTCCATCTTAAGTTGGCTGCTGTGTATGGTCATACACCTGGACATACATGGTGTGTGAGGACCTTCTGGGCTTGTGTAAAAACTTGTTCCCCTTTTTCCTTTTTGTTGGGGGGGAATAATATGTCATGTCCATGCCCTTATACAACAGGTTATTGTTAGAGGATTTTTGGCCCTGCAAGATCAGTTGTTTTGTATATGTTGTTTTTTTATGCAAAATCAATAAATAGAAATTTACAAAAAAAAGGGTGTGGCCGGATGACGTCATCACGTTAGGCAGAGACAGAAGTCTGCCACCTTGGATAGGTATCTGAAGCCAAAGTTTAACCTTAAGGGGGAAATGCTTGATTAAAGAGGCAATCATTTCTATGTGCACTTTTTTTTGTGAGATTTTAACCCTTTTTATTAATAAATTTGCCTGGTGGGCTGATATATTGGGCATGAGTTTTTTTTCCTTTATTCCTTTCAGTTACACATCGAGGAATGTTTGTATGTATGTGTATAAAGACACAAATTAAAGTTACCAGGAGAAACAGCCCTTCTTAAAGGGCAAGGGGCAAACTGACCTAATGTTCTGTAGGTCAGAATTGGAGGTAAGAAGTTTGTTTGGAAGGTGGAAGAGGTACTGTTCGATGGTGATCTGCGAATAATCACTTTGCACATTTGTTTGGACATGCAATGATGGTGGAAGAAAAAGGTGAACTATAAATATCATTTATTATTTATTTTCACAGAAGAAGCTATGTATTCAGTTATGAACTGTGCACTATAAACTATAGAGGTGGAAGACACGGATTATATTTATTATTATTTTTCACTCATATTCACTTGTATGAACTATCAGATATGTAAATGATTTATATGGTATACTTTCACAGCTTTTTGATTGCATGGAGCAATGCCTTCCCTTACATCAGTGTTTCTCAATTCCAGTCCTCATGGACCCCCAACAGGTCATGTTTTCAGGATTTCCATTATTTTGCACAGGTGATTTGATCAGTTTCACTGCCTTAGTAATTACCACAGCTGTTTTCAGGGAAATCCTGAAAGCATGACCTGTTGGGGGTCCATGAGGACTGGAGTTGAGAAACACTGCCTTACATGAACACACTGGTAGGAACAGAAATTTACCCATTACTAAAATGTTCACCCCACATTTCCATACTCATGTTGACCCCCAGACTCAAGCCATAGCCATGAATGAGGAGAGCAACATGGATGCACAGTAGGAGCTGGATACAACTAAGGCAGGGGTGGGCAACTGTGGCCCTCCAGCTGTTGGTGAACTACAAGTCCCATCATGCCTTTGCGAGTCATGTTTGTAACTGTCAGCTTTGCAACGCCTCATGGAACTTGTAGTTCTACAACAGCTGGAGGGCCACAGTTGCCCACCCCTGAACTAAGGCATTCTTCTGCAAAGACTGTGTAGCCCAGGGCAGGGTCCCTTAGTGAGAATCTTATGATCAAAACTGAAGGTAAGTACCTAGGTAAGTAGCTGAACCTCAGGATGGTGAGGGGAAGAATTAACAGATTTTTTGCTGAAAGTGAAGTTGCCCTTTAAAGTTGCCTTTAGCAACATGTTACACCCTTATTTAGGGTGTAACATGTTACTATTAAGGGTCTACCGCACAAACCTACATGAGTTAGGGCTCATTCACACACTTTGCAGTGACCTGTGTTGCTTCTCGCTGTATAAATGGAGATCACGGCTAGAGAACATTGAAATCAACTGTTTTCCAGGTGCCCCGTTCACCCCACAACACTGGCATGTGAAGTGTGCAAAAATGTATTTTTCTGCAGTGCACCGGATGTCGCAGCACAGAAATGTAATGCATTGTGCTACTTTGCAGAGACATGAATGAAGTGACTCTATGTAAGACTTAAAGTGTTACTAAACCCACAGCAGTGCAATCAGTCTGTATATGCAGTAAAGCATGCTTGTTATACTCACTGTGGAACCGAAGATGCATTGTGGAAAAAGGTTGTTTGATCCTTTCTCCTCTGCCCCTCCTCTTGGTGAAATGACCACCTGATACAGACTGAATCTGTAGTCACATGCGCATGCTTAGTTTGGTGTGTATGAGGTTTTTTTTTTTCTTGGGAGAGTGCATGTGATTAGCACAGGGCCAATCCGCACTGTCAAGACTTTCACATCCTCCTAGAGCAGAAGAAAAAACTCCTCCTACAAGTTTTAACCAGTGCTCTGCTGAAGTCACAAGACTGCTGATGAGAAAAAGGTATTTAGCAGTTTATATTTACTAAAATAATTGCATTTCCTTGTTCTGTGTACTGTGGGAGACCAGATATAGTGAATGCAGGGTCCTGGGTTTAGTAACACTTTAAAATAAAGTAAAAAAACAAAAAAAGAGAAAACACGTATATGGAAATCCTGCAGGAGCTGACACGGGAAATGGCTCACACAGTAAAACACTGTGTTTTACCCTGTGGGCTAATGTGAACCTAGCCTTAGCGTCTTAATACGCCAACATAGTTAAAAATTGTAAGGAATTCCCCCTTTCCTGGAATCCTTATATTCTTATTTCTATATTTTCTTTGTGCTGCGCAGCGTCTGGGTGTGGCACGGGCTCGATCGCGATCGGGCAATCAACATAACCAACACTCAAGTTGGATACAGGAAGATTGCAAAGTTTATTACGTACACAACAGTTTATAAAGGTAAAAACCACAAACCCAAATTATCCAATAGTAAGACAATGGTATACCTGAATCAATAGCCCTAGCCCATATTTCCCCACAAAAATCATAGCATAAGCTTAAAAAGAGAAGAAAAATAGAGGAATGCGACTTCAATTGGCTTTAAAATGAAAGATTTCCATAGAACGGTTTGTTACTACCATGAACATGCCACCTACCTCCCCATATTCTTCAAAGAATTTATTTTTATTCCGGTGCACAGTGTCAATCACTTTTGTTAGAATTTGTGGCAATCTGTCCTTAACAGTGTAATATGCGAATGATCTACAAGAGAAGGACAAAAAATTACAGAAGACTTAATTGACTATATCGAAACAATCACTGGAAAAATACAAGCAAATCAGGCTGCCAAATCTATGCAATAATTCATATGTGTATTTATAACCACCTGCATTCAACTGCCACAGACTCAGTACCTTTTTTTTTTTTTTTTTTTTACTTGGTTTACTTAAATGTCATTTTAAAGGTTTTACTTTTCTTATGTGTAAAGGTAAGTTTAATCTGTGCAATGCAGGCAGATGATGGCTGGTAGCAGGCGCTGGTAGGGTGCAGTACATTGCTTCCTGAAAACATCATAGCTCCCCACCTCACTACTCCTCTCAAGAGCCCTTAGCCCTGATGCAAGCAGTGAGATAACTTTTGGGAGGATTATGCAAATATTAAAATGCCTTGATGGGTGACTATCAGTCTGAAGGAGTGGATGTTCATAGGCAGGCTGCATTTGCATGCTGGCCATCATAGGTAATGCCCACCTGTGATGCCTCCATGATGGAAAGAACTAAAAGGGGCAGGCTGGGGAGGAAAGAACTGGATGAGGCAGGATGTCCTCCAGCCAGGAAGTTTGTCGGGTTCTATTTGACTTACTGTATCTTCTAATGCACACTTTGAGAAGCTCACAGTGTGCAGTGTAATCACAGTAAGCAATTTCAGTACCGGAGAGGAGCCCGTACAACTGTGAAAGACTGGGGGGAGGCTGAAGTTCAGATTTTTTTTTTTTGAATGAGCTGAAAATATCTAAAATGAAGGAGGACAAGGGATTTATATATCAATATGCAACTCTGCTGAAAGCACAAAACATTTCCTGCACTTTGTCACCTTTTTAGAAATACTCATTTTCTTAACCCTAGTGGACAATGATGCGGTTCTGATGCGTTTCAGAATGCATAGGTTTGCATGTCTAATTAAAATTCATTGTTTTCTATGAAGGCTGTCACATTGATGCGGTGCGATTCTGATGCTGTAAAAAAAGTGGTCCTCTGCATGTTCAGTGCGGTGCGATTTTAAGCTCCTAAGCATGTCAGAATAGCAGTTGAAAAGCACAAATCACACCGCAAATTAGCACTGCACTCTCACCCCAAACTGCATGTAAAATCACACCACATCTGTCTGAACCCAGGCTGTAATTGTTCATTTTTTGTACAGCATAACATATTTCCATTTTTTTTTTTTACATATTTGTTGTAAACTTGTCCTGATGCAAGGTGTACATGTATGCAGTGCAGATCAGTGAATACTCACCCTTCGTAACTGGCAGACAGTGAACAGGGAGTCTCCATTGTGTCAATCCACTGAATCTGCAAACATGAAACATAGAAACATGAGACCCCTGTTTATTTACAAAAAGTTGTCAGGTATCCCTGACATTGCATTCAGTGCAATTTAATGATCATAAAGGGAGAAATGTAATAACAACAGCGGATTATTTGTGTCTTCTGTTTGCAATCACTACCCATAGGGCATCCTAAAGCTGAACTTTGGGAATAAAAACCTGTCTTTTAACCCCTTCACACCTGAGGGTAAAAATTCCTAAAGCCGTAAGTAATATTTGAAAACTTTGACGTGTTAGTAAAACCGTTGATATCATCACAAGTACTTTGTACATCCAGGTGAATTATACCACGTTTTTTTCAGGACAAATTGGGCTTTCATTTGGTGGTAAATGCTAATGAATATCCCGATTTTTTTAAAATTATTATTATCAAAGGAAAACTGGCCCAAAATAGTAAAAAAGAATATATTTTTTTAATTTAGCTGTATTTTTCTTGTTACTACCATAACCTACCACCAAAGAACAAACCAAAATACATTTTCCAGCTCTTGGCGATCGGCGATGACGATACCATGTATGTGTATGTTATTTGTGGTTTGTACCTGTAGTACAGCCCAGAAACAATAGTGCGCATTTTGTTTTTGTTTTGTTTTTTTAACCTAAAACACACTGACACCAATATCAATTTAATCTCTCTTCCGCTGCCCTATAGCAGATGTACTGTTACAGGGCGGCAGGGGTGCACAAAATCACGTATCATTCGCGGCAGTAGCTGTCAATCACAAGGTCCCGGACGGTGATTACCTGCCAGCGCCTGTTGATTACCAACATCTTCGACGGGGAGGACGACTGTTTTATTTACTAACCATTCTCCTCCCTGTCAGCTTGGGCACACTGCGACACTGTGCACAGCCATCCAGATCAGTGTGCTTACAGTAAAGAACACAAACACAACCCCCTAGTAAAACACACCCAGCACACAGTTAACCCTTTGATCACCCCTCATGTTAACCCCTTCCTCCCCAGTGCCATTAGTACAGTGTCAGTGCTTTTCTTTAGCACTGATCACTGTATTGGTGTCACTGGGGATGTCAATGACACCAAGTCAGTTCCCCCCAGTGTCAGAACGTCTGCCGTAGTCCCGCTATAAGTCCCTGATCGCCGCCATTACTAGTAAACAAAAAAAAATTCCAGTATCATACCGCCATTTGTAAACACTATAATTTTACATAAACCAATTAATTTACATGTATTGGGATTTTTTCTTTTAGAACGACATGTAGCAGAATACATTTTAACCTAAATTTATGACAAACTTTAATTTTTTTACTGGACATGTTTAATAGCAAAAAGTCAAAAATATTGTTTTTCTCAAAATTGTTGGTCTTTTTTTTTTGATAGCGCAAAAAATAAAAACTACACAGGTGATCAAATGCCACCAAAGAAAGCTCAATTCTTGGGAAAAAAAAGGACGTAAATTTCATTTGGGTGCAGCGTTGCATGACCACGCAATTGTCAGTTAAAATAACGCAGCGCTGTAACGCAAAAAATGGCCCGGACAGGAAGGGGAGTTAAATACTCAGGAGGGCAAGTGGTTAAAGAAAAAAAAAATCCTGACCTTTGACCCAAACACTAACCCCACTGAACTAAATCAAACCTTGATCTAGGTATTTTTTATTTTATTTTTAAATTGTTCTCTCAGTGGGAGGGGGGGGGTTGGAGAGAGAGAGAGAAAAAAAAAAGCAAGGAGGGTGGCTTCACAGTGAATGATCACTGTGATAGCTATTAGAGGCTATTACATCGATCATGTGACCCCGGAACCGGGAGTCCCGGGTCCCGATCATTAGAATGGGACCCAGGGCTCTCAGTGACACTCTGGCCTTTGTGCTGCACAAAGTCAGGTGCGCACATATGTGGCCCCACGGAAAAAAGCCCAGTTCTGTGAGGCCGTCAAAAATGCATCAAAAACACTCATGCAGAAACACATCTGGAACGCATCTGGACTGCGTTTCTATAGTGTGAACCAACCCTTAAAGCCATTAACCACTTAAGGACCGCCCTATAGCAGATATACTGCTACAGGGCGGCATCTGTGTGCAAAATCACGTATATATACGTGAGTTTGCACTCCAGGTAGGGGGTGCGCGCAAACCGCGCACCCTACCCGTGCCACCATTTGTGATCACGGATGTCAATCACCGGGTCCTGGACGGTAATTATCCGGTGGTGCCCGGTGATTACTGAGCATCTCCGACAAGTAGGAAGATTGTAAAAACAAAAAACAAAAAAAAAACCAAAAACTATCTTCCTCCCTGTCAGGTCAAGTACACTGCTCGGGATGGCTGTGCACAGTACAGCCATCCGGATCAGTGTGCTTACAGTGAAGCACACGCCCCCTAGTAAAACACACACAGCATACAGTTAACCCTTTGATCGCCCCTCACATTAACCCCTTCCTGCCCAGTGCCATTAGTACAGTGTAAGCGCTTTTTTATTTTTTAACACTGATCACTGTATTGGTGTCACTGGGGATGTCAGTGACACCAAGTCAGTTCCCCCCAGTGTCAGAATGTCCGCCGCTGTCTCGCTAAAAGTCGCTGATCACTGCCAATACTAGTAGAAAAAAAAAAATTATCTATACCGCCATTTGAAAACACTATAACTTTCACGTAAACCAGTTCATTTACACGTATTGGGATTTTTTGTTTCCAGCAAAGTCATGTCGCAAAATACATTTTGGCCTAAATTTATGACGAAATTTGATTTTTTAAATTTTTTTACCGAAGATGATTTATAGCAAAAAGTCCAAAATATTGTTTTTTTCTCAAAATTGTCGGCCTTTTTTTGCTTTTAGCGCACACAAAAAAATGCACAGGAGATCAAATACTACCAAAAGAAAGCTCAATTTGTGGGAAAAAAAGACATACATTTCATTTGGGTGCAGTGTTGCATGACTGCGCAACTGTCAGTTAAATTAACGCAGTGCCATAATGCAGAAAATGGTCTGGTCAGGAAGGGGGGTAAATCCTCTGGAAGCCAAGTGGTTAAAGTGTAACTACAGGCAAAACTTTTTTTTTTTTATAGCTGTGGATAGAGTGGAGTGTATTGCTGTCTGTGTCCCCATTAGGGAGATTCCCCCTCTCTCTTTGTCCTGTTTACCATTATCATTGAAAGTGAAAGTAAAAGAAAATCCCAAATGTTGGGTTGTCCCCAGAAAAGTAACAGAGGGGAAACCTTCAAATGGGGACACTAGTTCTGGTAACCTGGGGGTCCCCAAGGGATTCCCTTAATTTGCAGGGATTTCCTCTCACTTCCTGTCCGGTTATGGGACAGGAAATGAAGAGAAATCTCCACAATGGGGACACAGATCCAAAATGAAAAAAAAAAAAAAAGTTTTGCCTGTAGCAGTACATTGAATCAGCGTGACAGCCAGTCAGTTATGACAACAATGGATTTCTTTCAGTTTACTTTTAAGAAAAAGCGAGAAAAAAAAAAAAAGTGAACTGATCAGCCCATGGTAAAGCAAGCAGACAGAAACCGATGGCAAGAAAAAAACGGAGGCTGCCACTGTTTACTGCATTTTCTAAAAAGATTTATTGCCTGGCTGTCATGCTGATCCTCTCACTTTAAGGTTTCCATTTAGTGGCCTGAAACAAGCATGTAGATTAGGACTTCTAACTTCTCAGCGACTGACAGTGCTGAGATGACTAGGTCAACATAACAGCCAAGCAAGCAGCATTTTCTAAAACAAACCATGTGGGTGAGTAGCATTTCCTAAAGTGAGCATGCCAGGCAAGCAGCATTTTCAAAGACAGGTGAGCATGCCTGGCAGGTAGCATTTTATAAAACAGGTGAGCATGCCAGGCAAGTAGCATTTTCTAAGAGGCGAGCATCCCAGACAAGTAGCATTTTCTAAGAGGCGAGCATCCCAGACAAGTAGCATTTTCTAAGCAGGCGAGCATCCCAGGCAAGCAGCATTTTCTAAGAGGCGAGCATGCCAGACAAGCAGCATTTTCTAAAGCAGGTGAGCATGCCAGGCAAGCAGCATTTTCTAAGAGGCGAGCATGCCAGACAAGCAGCATTTTCTAAAGCAGGCGAGCATGCCAGGCAAGTAGCATTTTCTAAAGCAGGTGAGCATGCCAGGCAAGTAGCATTTTCTAAAGCAGGTGAGCATGCCAGGCAAGTAGCATTTTCTAAAGAGGCGAGCATGCCAGGCAAGTAGCATTTTCTAAAGCAGGTGAGCATGCCAGGCAAGTAGCATTTTCTAAAGCAGGTGAGCATGCCAGGCAAGTAGTATTTTCTAAATCAGGTGATCATGCCAGGCAAGTAGCATTATCTACGAGAGGTGATCATGCCAGGCAGCTAGCATTGTCTAAGCTAGGTGCTCATTCCAGGTAAGTAGGTTCGATACGACAGGCGAGCAGTGGCAGCCCCTTCCAGAGCCCCCCATGCAGGCAGTACAGAGGACAGCCGCACACGATCTTACGCTGACACTTGACTTCTCCCACTTGCTGAGCCGCAGACTGAACCCTGACACGAGCAGAAGCTTCTCTAGTAGCAGCTCCCAGCACTCATCCGCACATTCGCCTTCCCCTACACCCCACCAATCACAGCATCTTCTTCCACAGCCCCGCACGGACTGATTATAGGACACGTTTTATTCCAATAAATATTTTCGCTGTCTGCTCTGTCATGGATTCTGCGGCGGAAGATGAGAGATGACGAATCTGCTACCGTCAATCGATAACTTCGGGCTTTGCAGTCTATCTGCCTGCGCTGGGCGAATGACAAGGAAGTTCCGAGCTTGGAGTGGGCGTGTCGGATCGGCGTTATACGGAAGAAGAGCTTGACAGGGGGGCGTGGTTCGGTGGGATTAAGACTGGGCGGGGCTTCCGTCACGCAGGTAAGGTTGTGCGGGGTGAAGGTCACGGGTTCGAATGTGAGCGGGGTCAGGGTTCATTCACACACAGCCCTCATCGGGATTTCCATCATGTACATGTATTGTGTCAGCACTGCCACGGCAGGGGATAGCTAACAACATTGCAGGGTGTATTACGAAGTGACAGGCATGCCTGCAGAAAACGTGTAGTGGGCGGGGCCAGTTCTTATAATCTGTCAGGCCAGGGAGTGGTGACAACCCTGAGGCATAAAGCATGATGGATCTAGAAGCTCAGCAAGAGAGCTTTAAAGTATCATTAACCACTTCAATACCAGGCACCTTCACCCCCTTCCTGCCCAGGCCAATCTTCAGCTTTCAGCGCTCTCACACTTTGAATGACAATTGCGCAGTCATGCAACAGTGTACCCATATGAAATTGGTAGCCTTTTTTTCGGATTGCTGGATCCATGGACAGGTAAGTGTCCTTATAGTAAAAGTCAGCACCCACAGTATTTGTAGTTGCTGATCTTAATTTTTGGGGGGAGCCTGGCTCCAAAATGTAGCTGCTGACATTTAAAAAGCAGCCATTCCCCTGTCCTGGGATCCAAAGGTGTCCTCACCACAGCCAGGTTCATCAGCTGTCCTGTGTCCTTGGTGCCAGCATCATAAGTGTCAGCGCTCAGCTGTGACAGCTTGCAGCTTCACAGCCGGGTGCCCACTGCGCATGCTCGAGCGGCGCTGCACATTATGAATGGTCCCATAGTCCTGTGGTACCTGTCATGTGTCCCGGACCACTGCAGGGGGGAGAAGAACTTCTGCTTGTAATCGCCTAGGCCAGGGAACTTCAAACTTTCTAAATGGAGGGCCAGTTAATTGTATTTCAAACTTTATAGGGGCTGGACTGTGGCAAATTTTCCTGGCATCAGTGGGAGTAAACATCACCACGTTTGGCATTAGGGGGAGGAATAGTACCCCATCATTGGTGTCAGTGCAAGGAATAGTGCCCCATTGGTGTCAGTGCATTGGTTGGTGTCAGTGCGAGGAATAGTGCCCCATCGTTGGTGTCAGTGGGAGGAGGAATAGTGCCCCATCGTTGGTGTCAGTGGGAGGAATAGTGCCCCATCGTTGGTGTCAGTGCGAGGAATAGTGCCCCATCATTGGTGTCAGTGCGAGGAATAGTGCCCCATCATTGGTGCCAGTGCGAGGAATAGTGCCCCATCATTGGTGCCAGTGCGAGGAATAGTGCCCCATCATTGGTGCCAGTGCGAGGAATAGTGCCCCATCATTGGTGACAGTGCGAGGAATAGTGCCCCATCATTGGTGACAGTGCGAGGAATAGTGCCCCATCATTGGTGTCAGTGCGAGCAATAGTGCCCATCATTGGTGTCAGTGCGAGGAATAGTGCCCATCATTGGTGTCAGTGCAAGGAATAATGCCCCATCATTGGTGTCAATGCGAGGAATAGTGCCCCATCATTGGTGTCAGTGCGAGGAATAGTGCCCCATCATTGATGTCATTGCGAGGAATAGTGCCCCATCATTGGTGTCATTGCGAGGAATAGTGCCCATCATTGGTATCCGTTTGAGGAATAGTGCCCATCATTGGTGTCAGTTTGAGGAATAGTGCCCATCATTGGTGTCAGTGCGAGGAATAGTGCCCATCATTGGTGTCAGTGCAAGGAATAGTGCCCCATCATTGGTGTCAGTGCGAGGAATAGTGCCCATCATTGGTGTCAGTGCGAGGAATAATGCCCCATCATTGGTGTCAATGCGAGGAATAGTGCCCCATCATTGGTGTCAGTGCGAGGAATAGTGCCCCATCATTGGTGTCATTGCGAGGAATAGTGCCCATCATTGGTATCCGTTTGAGGAATAGTGCCCATCATTGGTGTCAGTTTGAGGAATAGTGCCCATCATTGGTGTCAGTTTGAGGAATAGTGCCCATCATTGGTGTCAGTTTGAGGAATAGTGCCCATCATTGGTGTCAGTGGGAGGAATAGTGCCCATCATTGGTGTCATTGCGAGGAATAGTGCCCCATCATTGGTGTCAGTGCGAGGAATAGTGCCCCATCATTGGTGTCAGTGCGAGGAATAGTGCCCAGTTGGTGTTAGTGGGAGAAATGGTACCTCATTGTTAGTATCAGTTGGCAGAATAGTGTGTCGTATAAGGGGGAGGAATATTGCCCCAAAGGCTGGACAAAAGGCAGCAAAGGGCCACAGTTTGGAGACCACTGGCCTAAACGATCACAGTGGGAGTGGATGCCTGTCAAAATCTGATACCCGCTCCCCAAAGGTGCCAATCCTTAATGGGGAGCGGGGGATGAGGCGTAAAAGCAGAACTTCCCTTTTTGGGTGGAGCTCCGCTTTAATGTACCTAAAGTGAGCACATAAGTTCTTTTTTTAGGGTTTACATATGCTTTTAAGGACCCGACTGCGACACGCTTGAAATGTCAGCCAATGTTCTAGGTCTTTGGAAAACCTCATGCCAATGATGTTGCCATATTAGACATACATATCTGTTTGCCAGAGGGTCCATATGCAATAAAAATGTGGGTCACAAGGCCAGAAAAATCAGCCTGTCGTAAGAAGAGTACAGGACTGCCATTACTCACCTCTTTCTAAAAGTAACAAAGCTCATCTTCCAAGTCATTGACAGAGTTCTTCTTTATGTAAGTCTATACTGTAAGTAAGAAGCCCTCTTTGATGATTATTATACAGGATTTATATTGCACCAACACTTTACACAGCGCTTTACAACATAAGGGCAGACCATACAATTACAATACAATTTATTACAGTAGGAATTAGAGGGCCCTGCTCATTAGAGCTTGCAATCTAACAGGGAGGGTCAAGCAATACAAACGGTAATACCTTTGGGGGATGAGCTGATGGAGAAATGAAAAGTACATTTGTTAGGTGGAGGCAGGATAGACCTCTCTGAAGAGAAGAGTTTTCTGAGATCACCTAAAGGTGGACAGAGTAGGAGATAGTCGGACAGTTTAGGGTAGGGAGTCCCAGAGGATGGGAGTGGCTCGTAAGAAGTCCTGAAGGCGAGCATGGGAGGAGGTGACAAGGGAACTTGGGAGTAGGAGGTCTTGGGAGGAACGAAGAGCATGCAGAGAGAGGTAGCAGACACTGAGCGGTTGGTAATGTGGATGAGTCTGGCAGCATTCATGATGAACTGAAGAGGGGATAGCTTATGTAAAGGTAAGCCAGTCAGAGGGGAGTTGCAAGACCAGGGAGTGGACTAGGAGCTTTTTGGTGTCATTGCTTAGGAAGGGGTGTATTTTGGAGATGTTGAGGAGGCAGGCTTTTGACCGTGATTGGATGTTAGGCGGAAAGAATAGTTCAGATTCCAGGATTACACCTAGAAGCTTGGCATGCGGGGACGGGTTGATAGTTGAGCCGTTATCTTTGATAACTCTAACCTGCAATATCACAACCTTCATATTGTATTCTCATTGTTTTCAGCTGTAGATCATGTGCAGACTACTACGGAAGACCCCCTATCTTTTTACCCAAGCATGCAGGACAAGTTGCTTAAATAAACAGTTTAATAAAGTGGACCTAAAATATGGACTTCTTACTTCCAGCGAAAGGACCAGTGTCCCTCCTGCGATCAATGTAAGTCATTTCAACAATAAAATCACAGAGCTTTCTAAATTAAAATGGAACCATAGCTTTGGATCACAGAGCTGGTATAAACATTTTTCAGCAGTGAGTGGGGTGTTATCAAGAAGATTCTATTCCATTGGAAAGCCATCTCCTTCCACAAAGAGACCTCTGAAGTCTTCCAGGACCAAACAACCATCCAGAACTAATCTGCCTTTACTGTCGGAGAATGAGGTAAATCATACTTGTTAGAACGTAGTTGAAGTGCTCTCGTCATTGCATTTCCTCTGTAAAGTCTGCACTTCACATAAATGATATTTGTGTGTTCTGACATCACTGTAACCTGTATCATGGTCATGACAGCTCTCCCTGTTAACCACTTCAAGTCCGGACATTTTCACCCCCTTCCTGTCCAGGCCAATTTTCAGCTTTCAGTGTTATCACACGTTTAATGACAATTGCGCGGTCATGCAACACTGTACCCATATGAATTTTTTAGCATGTTTTTGAGACAGATAAAACTTTATTTTGGTGGTATTTACTCACCACTGGGATTTTTATTTTTTTTGCTATATAAATGAAAATGTCCAAAAATTTTGAAAAAAGGTGTTTTTCTTATAAAATTTTGCAAATAAATAATATTTCTTCTTAAATCTTGGACAAAATTTATTCAGTTATCTTTTTAGTAACAAAAAAATAACCCAAATTATTTTATAACTAAAAATTATAATTTTTCAACTTTTTTTTTTTTTACATTTTTATTGTATTTTTTTTATATTATTATGTATTTTTTTAACATACTGTCACCCTAGCAGTACAGTATCACCATAGTGACACTGTACTACTTGAGGGTGTTGAAGATTTTTTTTTTTACACCGATTGCTTTTACACCCATAAAGGCTGTAAAAGCAATCATTTCTCCTTCTCTCTGGCTGCATTCTTGCAGCCATTGAGAAATACTGTGCGAGCTGTGATTGGTCACAACTTGTCACATGATACAAGGCTGTTTTTTATTACAGGTACTTATATAGCTCCGTCAAATTATGCAGCAATCCGTAAGGACATTGTCAATTCACAATCTACCTCTCCACCTAGCCCCCCCCCTCCTTCCATCACTCCCTCAACTTTCCCCTCCTCTGACCTCGTTACCGCACTGCCCCCCACCATACCTAACAACTAGCACTAGCACACTATCACCTCCCAACACTCCACTCCTTCAGCCCTGCTACCACTGAGGAGGTCACTAAGGTCTTCACTGAAGCCCACCTCACCACTTGCTCCCTGGACCCTATCCCCTCACAACTCCTCCAGTCACCCCCCTCCTCCATCATTCGCTTCCTCACCCACATCTTCAATCTCTCCTTCTCTACTGGCACATTCCCTTCCCCCCTAAAGCACGCACACATCACCCCCATACTCAAAAAACCCTCCCTTGACCCCACTGACCTAAACAACCTTAGACCCATCTCCCTGCTACCATTCACTTCCAAGCTCCTTGAGCGCTTAGCCTACAATCACCTAAGCACCCACCTCACTGATAACAACCTCCTTGATCCACTACAGTCTGGCTTCCGCCCCCTACACTCCACCGAAACCGCCCTACTTAAAATCACTAACAACCTGCTAACCACCAAAGCTAATGGCCACTACTCAGTTCTCCTACTCCTCGACCTCTCCGTGGCCTTTGACACAGTCGACCACCCCCTACTCCTTACCAAATTGTACTCCTTTGGCATCAGGGACGCTGCTCTCTCCTGGTTCTCCTCCTACCTATCCCAACGCTCCTTAAGCGTCACCTATAACGCTGCCACCTCCCCCCCCTCTCTCCCCCTCTCTGTTGGAGTCCCCCAGGCTCTGTCCTCGGGCCCCTTCTCTTCTCTATCTACACCTCCTCCCTTGGCAAACTGATACACTCCCACGGCTTCAACTATCACCTCTATGCCGACGACACACAAATTTACCTCTCCACCCCTCACCCCCTCTCTCTCCGCCTGCATCGCCCACCTCCTGAACGACATATCAGACTGGATGTCGCTCCATTTCCTCAAGTTAAACCTGTCCAAAACCGAGCTCCTGGTTTTCCCCCCAGCCGCGCCCCCCCCCCATCCTCTCGACTAGCAATGCCACCATCAATCCCACCCCACACGCCAAAGTCCTGGGTGTCACCCTGGACTCAAACCTTTCCTTCTAACCTCATGTCCAATCACTATCAAAATCATGCAGGCTCCACCTCCGCCACATCTCCAAGATACGTACATTCCTCACCCCAGACACTACTATACAACTCGTACACTCCCTCATCATCTCACGCCTGGACTACTGCAACTCCCTTCTCACTGGCCTACCCAAACAAACGCTATCCCCACTCCAGTCTATCCTGAACTCAGCGGCTAGACTCATCCACCTCACCAACCGCTCCACATCCGCCACCCCCCTCTGCCAATCCCCTCACTGGCTCCCGATTGCCCAACGCATCAAATTCAAATTACTAACTCTGACATACAAAGTCATTCACAACGCCGCCCCAAACTACCTAACTGACCTGATACCCAAATACCACCCTACCCGTGCCTTTCGCTCCTCACAGGACCTCCTACTCTCTAGCTCCCTGGTCTCCTCCTCCCACGCCCGACTCCAGGACTTCTCCAGGATTTCCCCCATCCTCTGGAACTCCCTACCCCAATCCATCAGTCTGTCACCTACCGTCCTCCCCTTCAGGCGCACCCTGAAAACCCATCTCTTCAGGGAAGCCTACCCCACCCTCACCTAACAACCAATCTCCACTCCTCCCATCACTCCATCCCCCACAGCCACTTCCTCCTGTACCACTATCCCCTCCCTCCTAGATTGTAAGCTCGAAAGAGCAGGGCCCTAGAACCCCTTGTGTATTGTCTTGTTACTGTATTGTCTCATGTTCTGTCCCCCTCGGTATTGTACAGCGCTGAGCAAACCCTTTGGCGCTATATAAATACTGTATAATAATAATATATATATTGTACATTCACATCAGTCCCTAACCCTCAAGGAGCGTACAATCTAAGGTCCCTAACTTACATTCATACATACACATACTAGGGCCAATTTATACAGGGCCGTGGTTGGGATTTGAACCAGTGACCCTAGTGCTGCCCGGTGGATGTGCTAACCCACTTTCCTGCCTACTTCCAAGTATGGCTGTCAAAGACATCAGATGTATTTTTATCAAAAAAATAAGAATTGAAGAGCCACACCACTGCTGTATTGCCAAGACACAATTTTATTTCAGTAGGGTCAGACGAACAAGCAAAAGGATTCCCAATGCCTTTTGGGGGTCTAAAAACATCCCCTTTATGAGGAATTAGAATAGAAGACAATGTATGGACTAAATATTATCTGAAGCTTAGGTAGTACTTTTTTCAAATGTGAGAATCTGTATGAATTTCCCAAATCAGCTACATTGTCTTCTATTCCAGAGCCTGATAAAGATGTTTTTGGACCTCTGAAACACGTCGGTTAAACCTTTAATTTAGTGGTCTCCAAACTTTCTAAACAAAGGACCAGTTTACTGTCCTTCAGTCTTTAGGAGGGCCGGACTGCGGCCAATGGGAATGCAAAATGTCCCAGCATAAGTGGGAGTAAACATTCGCCTATCATTGTGTGACAGTGTGAGAAATTGTGCCTCATCATTGGTGTCATTGGGAGGTATTGTGCACCTTCATCAGTATGACTGGGCCCCATTATTGGTGTCATTGGGGGGAATTCTGCCCCATCATTTATCTCATCAGTAGGAATTTGACCATCGTTGGTGTCATTAGGAGGAATTATGCCTTTCATTGGTGTCAGTGAATTAAATAGTGTCTCAAGGGCCAGATAAAATCAATCAACGGGCCATATTTGGCCCCCGGGCCACAGTTTGGGGACCACTGCTTTAAGTGCTCTTCTGAACCAACTAGAGTAACATTGTATCAGGACCACTGAGCAGTGGTGTGCTGCTTCAATTTATGTTTTTAATAAAGTACATTACAAACCAAGGAAACGTTGGAGATTCTCGGGGGGTGTAGAAGCTACCTGCCTGATAGCCAGATCTTTTACACCAAAACCATTACAATGCTGTTGGATAGCAACGCCAATAGTCTAATCTCATGGGTACACCCCTATCTTTCAACTTTCTTAGATATATTTTTATGACTTTGTAAATAGGGGCCAATGTGTTCTATAATGCACATACCAACAGCTGCTGTCTTAGAATTCTGGAAGTAGTAGTGCTCAGATTGTTGAGTATAGCTGTATGTGTCTTTTTTGTTACTGTCCTTTTTTCTTGTTTTTTTTTTACTATGCAGGACGTGATGCAGTGTGTGGCCTTTGCCACAGCTGATGAGTTTCACTTGGGTACTCTGTGCCATGACCTTGTATCCAATGGGTACTGTGAACTGCCAAGTTTACCTCGAGGTAATCTGCTCTTCTTGACATTACTTTTTATTACCTTCGATCCAAGCCTGTATTTTGAAGCAGAGTTGTTAGTGACTCTTGACCGCTAAAACAGGATTTATAGACAAAGAGCAGTTTGATGTGAGAATGTCTTCATCTAATCTAACTTAAACCTTGGAAACCAGAGTCAGCATGCCGTTTAGTTCTGTAGTATTCTGTATAGAGGTTGTGTAACCGAGACCATGCACACCTACCCAAAAGTACTGCAAAAAGCCTGCTGAATCTTTCTGTATTAAAATATTATAAGAATACAAGTAAGTTAAGCGAATGTTCAGAGTCTTATAATACATATGTTGTATATTATCAGTGATCAAGGGGAAATCGGGCCTGCACAACACACCTTAAGAGATTCTTCAGTCACTCTGCAAAAAAATAAGTCAGCAGCTACAAGAACTGTGATAAACAGACACGCACCTGTCCTTGGATCCAGCGCCGGCTTCACCCGGGACGTTGTTTTACCACTCTTCAGTCCTTGAAGCTGGCATGTTAACTGTGGGCAGCCGGCTATGATTGCTTGCAACTTCACAGCCGGATGCCCACTGCGCATGCACTAGCTGTGCTTTGTGAATGGTCCCACAGCCTTCTGGGACCTGTGATGTGTCTCAGAAGGATGTTGGGGGGAACTGTCAAAGCCAGGTCCCCCCCCCCCCCCCCCCCAAAAAAATATGTGCCAAATTTGTCAGAGAAGGGAGGTTGGAGGAGGGAGAATGGAACCTTCCGCTTTAAAAATCCACGTTACACAGCACATCTTCCATTCAGCAAAAGTGCAAACAAACTTGTGAAGCTAAGCACATATCTGTCTCTGTTGAAAGACTGTATTGCACTGGCTGGGAGCAGTTACATGTTTGCTTGCACGGTCACTCAAGGAAAAGCCTGTTGTGATTTGTTTGCTAAGAAATAAAGCAAATTTTAAGTTTCGTGGATCTGTGTGTTGTTGAAACACAGATTCAAATTATAACATAGCAGGCTCACCAACCAGGAAAGTCCAAGACATGCGAAGCTTTCAGTAAGCCTTGCATCAGCTTTCAGTGGTATCCAAGCTGCAAATAGGGAAGAGCTCAGGGGTATTTGGATCCTAGTCCAAACCCACCTGAGCTATCACCCCAGAAAGCTGTCAGTCATAAGAAACAAGGCATTCCCCACCCAGCAGCACATATATAAGGGTAGTATACATATGAGACTGTGGGGTGGGTAATGCCTCGGCCACTTATGATTGGTAGGTCACAGTGACAGCTTTCTGGTGGGATAGCTCAGGCGGGTTTGGGTTAGGATCCGAACAAACCTGATCTCATCCCTGGCTGCAAACAGCTCTCTTCCCTTCACACATTATTACCACACTGTCTCTCTGAGCTCACCTGTTTTAATAGGCAGGGCTTGAGGGGAAATATCTACCGCCTCAAAGTAACCCCCTTTTTACCCTTCCGGCTGACTCTCCACAATATATACAGTTTTCCATGTTTTGTCCAGAATTGTATTATTTGATGTTTGCCGGTTTGCCCTTTTATAGATGCATCTAACGTATTGCTGGTGGAAGCAACAAACAAACGTTTCTAAAGAGTATGATTCTGGACAGATTTTCTTCTTCAGGTAATATATTCCTTAAACTAAACCTGTCATAATTCAAGTTTGCGCAAACTGAGTATATAATGAATGCATAAAGCAAAGGTTACTTTTAGTGTAAACTAGATGTCAAGACCATCAGTAAATCCAGAGGTATAGATAACAAACGTATGCAAATTTTGACTTTTTCCTCTAAAGGTCAAGCTTAGCCCTTCCCCTCTTGCACCTCCATTTTGGTCCTTTAATGTATTAGGTGACTCCATTCTTCATAGATATATTCAAGATTCGTTTTTTTTATTATTTATTATCCATGACAAAATAAGGCTATTCTTTTTAAATAAATGTTTGTCTTGTAATGCTGGGGTTCTTACATTAATAGTGCTATGGAAAGTATGGGCTATGGCAAGCACCAAGCTGCAGAGGTGAAGCAGGCTGTCCTAGGATGATTCCGGCGTACTGACAAATCTTTCTAAGCCAAAGCTTTCCAGGCATTGGTTAAATGCTGGGAAAAGTGTATAAATGTAGCAAAGGAGTATGTTGAAAAATAAATGCAGTTAACACTCTTTGAAATTTGTTCTTTTATATTATATTATTGTATAAAACTCAGAAGTCCATGTTGGACTTGAACGCCCCCTCATACATAACACACATCATCAAAAGGGAGAATTTATCCAAAAAGTTCACTTCCCCAGATTCTTACTGAATTTTTTGACTCACATACAAATGTGAGTCAAAATTGTAGTATTTCAAATATATGTCAGTATATTTGGGAAGAAAATTTTTAAAATATTTTTTCTTCCATGTGGGTTACTCGTTTCAAATAAACCTTGTCACTCCCATGCTTTATTGTCTTTCATATTTAGCTTAATCTTCAAACATCCACTTTAAAACGCATATCACTCCAAACAAAATCCCCAAGCCTGGTCTCAGGATCCTATTCCTCTCAGTGTCTCCCCAAAAGAAAATAACCTCAATAGTGTAGTACATCCATATCAAATATACTCACCGTTCAAATTTTGCTCACGTTATATCTTGCTCCCATCAGTGCAAAATTTGTCATTCAGTTCATACATGCCATAGTGCACCTCCCCCTTTTGCACAAAATGCCTTCCCCAAAAAAAAAACCCCTTTGAGACAGGGTTGGGTGATCTTTCTTATAATCTTCTTCTGCTCCGGTCCCCTTATCGAACAGTCACTTGCTCCTCTCCATCTCCTTTAACTTGGAGTTAAAGTATGTCAGTCCTAGGGAGGCAGGAAGCAGAGGAGAGTGAGTGACTGTTCAATAAGGGGCCCGGAGGAATGGCATAGAACAACATTATAAGTGAGATATGGAAGACATTGAAGCATGGGAGTGACAAGGTTTATTTGAAACAAGTCAGGAAGACAGAGACGTTGCAGTGATGAGGTTATATTGGATCCATTCATTTGTATGTAGGTCAAAAAATCTGGTAAGAGTCTGGAGAAGTGACCTTTTTGGATAAATTCAGCTGTTGATGACTTCTTTTATGTATATCTGGACAAATTGAATGTAATTGATCTACAGAGCAGCTTCAGAAACAAGGAGGGCATTGGAGATCCCAGATTATGCATTCTGCTTTCCATAAACAAGGAACAGAAGGCACCAACATAGCACATTACCTTTTTGTTATGGTTTTATTTACGTTAAAAAAACCAGGCGTGTACTGGCATACCTTCCAATTGCTCACGTGTTTCAGGTGGGGATCCCCTCTTCCTCAAAGACACATGCCTCATTGACTGTGAGGAAGCAGGGATCCCCCCTCTAAACCCATCAGCCTTTAGAAGGTCTTCTACTGCTTGGGACTTGTCTAGGTGACCAGGTCGCTCCTATACATTATGGATTTTGATGTGCCTTATTGCTGATGTTATTTGTGAGTACACACCGTTTTTTTTTTTTTAACATAGATAAAGCTATTACAAAGGTAATGCACTAGGTTGGTACGCCCTTTGTTCCTTGCTTTTGCAGCTCTTCCTCTGGGTTTCCCCAGCCCGTAGGGGGCAGCAAAGCAAATACTGGACTAACTGAAGATTGTGGATTGACTTTTGCCAGTGCACTTCCCTTGAGCGCAGGAGGTTGTTTTTTTTTTTTTTTGTTTGCATTCTGCTTTTCATCACTGACTTACAGTAGAATAGAATAGCAAGTGATGGGGGAGAGACTTAGCTCAACGTATACAGGGCAAATGCTGGTGTAAATGTGTGGAGCTTAGCGTGAGTAAGTTGTGTAACTGCAGTAGCAGCTACAACCTACAAACTCTGATAATCACTGAATTCCTCAGTTGTCATTCCAGCTAGACAAATGCTGCCAAACTGCAAATAAAAAGAGCAGGTATGATCGCTATATGTACTGAGGCACACTTATCACCACTGTACTAAAACTAGTCACTTTGTTTAGAAAGTTTAGAGACCCCTGGTATACAAAGGGCCGGTTTACTGTTGTCCAGACTTTGGCCAGTGGAAGTAGAAAATGCCCCAGTGTCAGTGGGAGTAAAAAAATTACATAGTCCCTGTAGTTGTTAGGAGGAATAGTGCACCATCATTGTTGTTAGTGGGAGGAACAGTGCCTAATTGTTTATATCAGAGGGAGAAATGATGCCCCAATGCTAGTGTCAGTGGGAGGAATAGAGTCCCATCATTGGTGTCAGTGGGAGAAATGATGCCCCAATGCTGGTGTCAGTGGGAGGAATAGAGTTCCATCATTGTTGTCAGTGGGAGGAATTATGCCCCAATGCTAGCATCAGTAGGAGGAATAGAGTCCCATCATTGGTGTCAGTGGGAGGAATTATGCCCCAATGCTAGCGTCAGTAGAAGGAATAGAGTCCCATCATTGGTGTCAGTGGGAGAAATGATGCCCCAATGCTAGTGCCAGTGGGAGGAATAGAGTCCCATCATTGGTGTCAGTGGGAGAATGATGCCCCAATGCTAGTGTCAGTGGGAGGAATAGAGTTCCATCATTGGTGTCAGTGGGAGGAATTATGCCCCAATGCTAGCGTCAGTAGGAGGAATAGAGTCCCATCATTGGTGTCAGTGGGAGGAATTATGCCCCAATGCTAGCGTCAGTAGAAGGAATAGAGTCCCATCATTGGTGTCAGTGGGAGAAATGATGCCCCAATGCTAGTGCCAGTGGGAGGAATAGAGTCCTATCATTGGTTTCAGTGGGAGAAATGATGCCCCAATGCTAGTGTCAGTGGGAGGAATAGTCCCATCATTGGTGTCAGTGGGAGGAATTATGCCCCATTGCTGCTGTCAGTGGGAGGAATAGTGTCCCATCATTGGTGTTAGTGGAAGGAAAAAATGTCCTATTGTTGGTGTCAGTGGAAGGAATAGTGCTCCAAGGGCCAGATAAAGGCAAGCAAATGGCCACAGTTTGGAGACCACTGTTGTATACTCTTGGTAACGTTTTATGCAGTAAGCATAGAAGTCTCCCTAGTTGCTACCTTTTTAAATGTATGCAATGGCATTCTTTTCCAACAGTTTGTGATCTGTTTCTGCAGAGACTACATGCAGTGCAGTACAAAAATCATCTTGAATGCTTTAAATTGAACTGGTACATGAAACAGATCCCCTTCTCGAACTTCTCAGTTAATTCTCCTGATTGCTGCTTTTCAGTGTGCACAGTGCAGACTGCAAGCAGGCTAAATATGAGAAATGCAGTTTTGCACAGGTCGGGGCATGTGATGACAGTTGTCAAAGTATGAGGCAGAAAAAGTCACATTGATTGCAATTCCTCTGCATATGAAAGATCATAAAAAGCCATTTCCAGACTCTAAACTTGTGGTTGTTGCAGGGAAGGAGCAGCTGTCTTTTGGAATGTTGAAGAAAAAAAACTGTGAGTACATACATTTTACTATTTCTGTACAGCCATGGGTAGATTTAGTTTAGAAGTATTCCCCAAGAATATTTATTGGTGTGTGAACACATTTAGGTGCCTGTAGCAGTTTATCATTCATTTGTGTCAGAGCGTGAGTATTGCAGTATTAGTGTTGTTACAGTAACATTAATTGGATATTATTATTTATTTCAGGTACTTATATAGTGCTGTCAATTTACACAGCACTTTACATATATATTGTACATTCACATCAGTCCCTAACCCTCAAGGGGTGTACAATCTAAGGTCCATGTCTCACATTCATACATACACATATTAGGACCAATTTAGACAGGAGCCAATTAACCTACCAGCATGTCTGTGGTGTGTGGGAAGAAAAAACGGAGGCAGGCACAGGGAGAACATACAAAACTCCAGGCAGGTGATGCCATGGTTGGGAATCAAACCAACGACCTGAGTACTGCCAGGCAGAAGTGCTAACCATTTAGCCACTGTGCTATAAAAACTAAGCTGGGATAATGATCTTTTTTTCTGTAGTTAACATATTTTTTTGATCTTCTTATTAAGATGAAACACGTTATGCAAATTCTGGAGCTTCATGAAATTCAGCCTTATGAAGTTGCCCTGGTTCACTGGGAAAACGAGGAGATAAACTACAGCTTCAGAGAGTATGTTTTACTTTTATTACTCCAAGATGCTTCTGGAAATTCTGCTGCAGTTTCACATTAACATGCCTTTTTTATAAATGGTTGAAAATCAATATTTTTGCCTAAACATACAGAAAAGATAAGGATATACAGTCATGGCCAAAATATTGTCAGATAATGCACCATGGTGCCCAGAAGATCGTTGTGATTACAAATGTTTAGGCATTCTCATGATTATTTCTTTTGTTTGTATTGGCATGACACAAAAAAGTGGATAAACAAAAAGCCAAATCCTGACACATTCCACACAAACCCCCAAAATGGACTGGTAAGGCTTGCATGGAGATGCTCGGCCATATAAACCCATTCCATGAAGCTCTCTACACACTGTTGTTGTGCTAATCTGAAGGTCACATGAAGTTTGGAGGTCTTTAGCTATCGACTCTCCAGACAGTTGGCGACTTCTGCGCCCTGTGCGCTTCAGCATGCCCTGACCCCGCTCTGTCACTTTACGTAGCCTACCACTTCATGGCTGAGTTGCTGTTGTTCCCAGTTGCTTCCATTTCATTATAATACCACTAACAGTTGACCGTGGAATATTTAGTAGCAAGGAAATGTCACGGATGGACTTATTGTACAGGTGGAAAGCTATCACGGTACCACGCTTGAATTCACTGAGCTCCTGAGAGCGAGCCATTCTTTCACAAATGTTTGTAGAAGCAGTCTGCATGCCTAGGTACTTGATTTTATACACCTGTGGCCATGGAGGTGATTGGAACACCTGAATCCAATGATTTGGAGGGCTGGCCCAATACGTTTGGTAATATAGTGTATATCCGAAAATCAGTCAATCCTGATGTACTAATGGCCTATCCCATTTTTTGAGGCCTAAATAGAATATTACAAATATCCCCCAAATGACGGCTGCAGCTATGGGAACATGTTACATGTTCCACCCTAAAAATGGGTGGAACATGTAACATGTTCTCAAAGGTGAACTTATCCTTTAAGCAGCTTGATGGGTTAAAGGAGAAGTATGGCTAAAGCTTTTTTGGCTATACTTCTCCTATGGATCACAGGAGTGCAGTTCATCCACTGTCAGCTGATGTCACTCAGCCGCTCCAGCCTCAGCTAGCTGCTTCCTCCACATCCCTCCACTCCAGTGAGCGCTGAAGGCCAGAACAGAGAGCTGGAGACTGACAGGTGCTGACACCAAGAGCTGAGTAATCAGTGGTGTTTGATCACTCAGTTCTTGGTCTTAGAGGCGGTGGGGGACAGCTGCAGCTGGGATTGGTGCTGTAGCCATCTAGGTAAGTCTAATAGTTAATTTGTTTCTATTCCCATAAGTCTCTTTTTAACCACTTCAAGTCCGGACACTTTTACCCCCTTCCTGCATTCTTGCAGCCATTGAGAAATACTGTGTGAGCTGTGATAGGTCACAGCTTGTCACATGATAAAAGGCTGCTGTGAATAGCCTTGTACCATGTGACCTCTGTGATCATTCACAGATTTCACACGTAGTAAGCAATGATGTCAGGAAGTAACATCATTGCTTGCTACTATTTATGTGATCACTGATTGACTAATCAGTGATCACATGATTGGGACCTCACACAGAGGTCCCGTACAGCAATCGGTGTTCCTGCGGACAAAGTGGGCACTGGATTGCGGTGCCGCGTGCTCAGGCTGAAAATGCGGGCGCCGTTCATGAACGGCAACCCGCTCCTGCACTGTTCCCATCTGGCCGTTTATATACATGGCCCAGATGGGAAGTGGTTAAAGTATAACTAAAGGCAAAACTTTTTTTTTTTTTTTTTAAGTTTTGGATAGGGTGGAGAGGAATTAGAACCCCTGTCCGTTTTTATTGCTGTCTGTACCCTCCTTAGGGGATTGACCCTCTCTCTTTAACTTGTTTACCAATATTATTGAAAGTAAATCCCAAATTATGGGTTGTCCCCTGAGAATTAATAGAGGGGAAATCTTCCAATGGGGACACTAGTTCTAATGACCTGGGAGAGTGAGGGATTTCCTCTCACTTTGTTTGGCTATGGGACAGGAAGTGAAGGGAAATCTCCCCAATGGGACACAGATGGCAAAAAAAATCTGACAGAGGTTATAACCCTCCTTTGTTCTATCAAAAAAAAAAAAGTTTTGTCTATAGCTCTACATTACGTTTGGGCGTCTTTATAACTGTAGCTAGCCTCCTCTAACATACAGAAAATGTGAGTATCAAAGCATCAGTCACTAATCAGATTTAAACCAGCATTGTTGTTTGAATCTGGTGGTAAAGCAAGCTAAACCCAAGGGCGGACTGACAACTCATGGGGCCCCCGGGCAATAGGGGATCATGGGGCCCCTGTGTCCTTGCCCACACTCAAAAAAGCCTATAAAAAAGGTACCAGGGGCATTTCATGGGGCCCCCTACTGACCCCGGGCCCTCGGGCAGTGCCCGAGTGCTCGAATGGTCAGTTCGCCCCTGGCTAAACCATCACCTGATCATGTGAGGAGCTGTCTAGATTCAGGCTGTACGGCACTACTGAGAACTGAGGTTGTAGTTGAATTCCAGTTAAAGAAGCCATATAAACGGATGAAATACATACTGTATATGGGGAGTGTTTACCTGACAGTGGATTTGTAATTCTACGTATCCAGTCCTGAGAATTACACAGCTATCCTAGACAGCACAACCAGCCTGGAGACCTGCCTTTTCTTTACTGAACTTAAGTAACACAACTAAGTCTTGTTCCTGCCCCCAGCTTGTGACTGGACAGTGTAGGAGAAGCAGGAGATTGATGAGCTGATTTCTATGTCTCTCTGATCTCTCCTCCTGGTAGCATGTCCTTTATCGCACTAGTGCTGCTTCCTCCTTTGAGCTCTGCTGTACAGGGATTGCAAGAGGCTAATACCAAGTCACATTCGGGCACTTACACTAGTTACATTTAAAAAAATACTTACGATTTTATATTGAGCACATACCTGAATGAATTGGTGATCTTTTTCTGAACATAATTTAGCTGTAAGATACATTTGACAAATCTGAATGTGTTAGGACACCAACTGCACTTACTAGGTAATCTAAGATGTTTATTGATGGGTTTCACTTGTTGCCTGGAATTGCTTTGTATTCACCAATGTTTACTAGTAATCCATGCATCCTGTGTGTTTCTGCAGGGGACACTCCAGGCTTGTGAAAGGTGAAATTGTGTTGAATGCTCAGCAGGAAGCAGATGAGGTCATTCTAGAAAAATTTGCCTTTTCCAATGCACTTTGCCTATCTGGTGAGTCTTATGACAATAAAATGTGGGTCACAGTTTGCAAGGCTATTGCGTTTGACTGGTATGGGCCGCCAATCCAAATTCTCATTTAAAGTGTTACTAAACCCAGGACCCTGCATTCACTATATCTGCTCTCCCACAGTACACAGAACATGGAAGTGCAATTATTTTAGTAAATATAAACTGCTAAATACCTTTTTCTCATCAGCAGTTAGAGCAGTCTTGTGACTTCTGTCAGTGCTCAGTCGTCGTGCACTGGTTAAAGCTTGTAGAAGGAGTTATCTTTCTGCTCTAGAAGGATGCAGAACCCCTGACGTCTGTCTGGACAGTGCTGAGTGGCCCTGTGCTGATCACATGCACTCTCCCAAGAAAAAAAAAAACCTATCTAGCAATACACACCAAACTGAGCATGTGCAGAGTGTCTCCACACGATATGTCTTATCAGGAGATAAGAGGGAGGTACTGGAAGAAGGGGAGGATCAGAAAAGTTTAGATCAAACAGAATTTTTACACAATGCAGAGGGTTAACCCCTTAGATTCCTCAGTGAGTATATCAAGCATGCTTTACTGCATATACAGACTGATACTGTTGTGGGTATAGTAAAGCACTCCTGTCAGGAAAAATGCATGGGACTGCCATTACTGACTTCATTCTGAAAATGTTTGTTATCTGGCTTTATAAATAATTGAGTCACAATCATTTTGTAAAGAAGTGCCAGAAAGTTGTGAGAATATCCTATCTCTAGGCCTGCTGCTAGTCATCGGCTCAGAAAACCTTAAAGGACAAGCATACATTTAACAATCAGGGCTCACGTACACGGGGCGTTTAGAAAACTCTTCTGAACGATTGGAAACTGACTGCTAGAAAACGTAGGTCAAAAAAACTTTAGTTTAGCCGCGTTTGCATACTGCGTTTATGCGCAATTGCGGTTTTAAAGGGTTTTTAAAAGATAACCTCAGGAGACCTTCCCAAATGCCCAGAATGCACTGAAAAACAGTAAAAATGTACTATTTCAGACATTTGAGAGAAATAGAGAGAGCAGAAGCAGAGAGAGCAGTATATGTTGAGATGACCTGTCTTTTCTGGTTGTATTCACTATGGATCCCATCATGAGCATAATTCTAAACCATTTTTTCCTTCACACGAAACCTGGAACTGACTGCGCTGGTGTACCGGGTCTATTTGAATACATGGAAAACACTTTGAATTTCTGATGATGGAAAAAGGCTCTGGACAACATCTGGACATGGAACAGTTAAAAAAAGCTTCAAAATGCAAATGCTTATAAACGCGGTTAACTGCGTTTACAAGCCTTTGGCGTTTGAAATGCCGGTAAAATCTACTCCTGAATGCAAGTTTGGTGCGTTCAAAAAAACGACTGTAAACACCTATGTGTACATGGATACATAGGAAAACAGGGAGAGTTCAGGGGCCGCTGAAAAAAACGCAGAACAGCTCCTAAATGTCATTTTATGAGCTGCAGTGTACATGAGCCCTCAGAGAACATTCCTAAAGCTCAACTTCAGACTCCTTTCTTATTTTGCCATAAAATTCCCCAGCAGTCTAAAAAATATATCTTTAATTTGAAGGTGTCCCCCGCAGTACTTCTTTTTCACTGCAAGATGTCCTCAGTATTCTGGGTTGAGGAAATCTTGAAACGTAGTGGTATGCAGCAGCTAAAAGATATTGTCACCAATTGGAGGCTACTGCTGGCTGGATGTATCCTGCTCCTACCCAACGACTGCTTACCCAAAATTGCAATGTGCTGGTCGACACCACCTAGAATTAACCAGAAACAGGGAAAAACCATTGACAGCCTGGTGGCCTGAAATCCATTGAGATTCCATGGGATGCCCAATGTGCCAAATTTTGAACTACAGTTGCAAGAAAAAGTGGGATTACGTGGAGTTTTGCATGAATTGGGCATAAAATGTGCTCTGAACGTCATCTAAGTCACAACAATAGAAGAACACAGTCTGCTGAACATAATACTATACAAACATTAGATGTTGCCATGGTTTAATTGCACATAAACATGTAAACATTCACAGTGCAGGGAGGAAAAAGTATGTGAACCTTTGGACTTAATAACTGGTTGACCCTTCTTTGGCAGCAATAACCTCAACCAAACATTTCCTGTAGTTGCAGATCAGACCTGCACAACAATCTGGAGTCAATTTTGGACCACTCCTCTTCACAAAACTGTTTCAGTGTAGCAATATTCTTGGGATGTGTGGTGTGAATTGTTCTCTTAAGGTCATGCCACAGCATTTCAATCGGGTTGAGGTCAGGACTCTGACTGGGCCACTCCAGAAGGCGTATTCTGTGCTGTTGCAGCCATTGTTTTGTTGAATTACTTGTATGCTTTGGGTCATTGTCCTGTTGCATCACCCATCCTCTGCGGAGCTTCAGTTGGCGGACAGATGGTCGTACGTTTTCCTGCAAAATGTCTTGATAAACTCTGGAATTCATTTTCCCATCAATGACAACAATCCGTCCAGGCCCTGAGGCAGCAAAGCAGCCCCAAACCATGATGCTCCCTCCGCCATGTTTTACAGTGGGGATGAGGTTTTGATGTTGGTGTGCTGTGCCTTTTTTTCTCCACACATAGTGTTGTGTGTTCTTCCCAAACAACTCAATCTTGGTTTCATCTGTCCACAGTATATTTTGCCAGTAGTGCTGTGGAACATCCAGGTGCTCTTTTGCAAACTTCAAACGTGCTGCAATATTCTTTTTGGACAGCAATGGCTTCCTCCGTGGTGTCCTCCCATGTACTCCATTCTTGTTTAATGTTTTCCTTATTGTAGATGTGTCAACAAAAATGTTAGCATGTGCCAGAGATTTCTGTAGGTCTTTAGCTGACACTCTGGGATTCTTCTTTACCTCATGCAGCATTCTGCACTGTGCTCTTGCAGTCATTTTTACAGGACGACCGCGCCTAGGGAGAGTAGCAACAGTGCTAAACTTTCTCCATTTGTAGACAGTCTGTCTTACCGTGGACACATGAACATCAAGGCTTTTGGAGATACTTTTGTAACCCTTTCCAGCTTCATGCAAGTCAACAATTCTTGATCGTAGGTCTTCTGAGAGCTCTTTTCTGCGAGCATGGTTCACATCAGACAGTGCTTCTTGAAACCAGTAAACCCAAAACAGGTGTGTGTTTTTTAAGGGCAGGACAGCTGTCAGCAATACATCCAATATCATCACACTGATTGGAGTCAAGGTTGGCTCACTCTTGGCTTCAATTAGCTCTGGGAGAAGTCATTAAGCTAGGGCCTCACATACTTGTTCAGAGCACATTTTATGCCCAATTCATGCAAAACTCCACGTTATCCCAAGGGGTTCACATACTTTTTCTTGCAACTGTATGTCTACAAGCCGAGAGTTGGGCTTAAGAAGAAAGTTCAACAGTAGCAATCTACATAATAAGTGTACTTTAAGTCTCATGTTAAAAAAAAAAGGTCCATTTTCCCCTGCTCATTACTTGGTACTTATATAATCTGTGCTGTTTTGTTTTGTTTTGTTGTTTGTGTATAGGGCCTTGAGTCAAGAAAGCCCAATTGGCTGTGTTTTGTACTCTAAAAAATGAAAAAGTCAATAAAAAACATTTTTTTAAAAAAAGATACATATTCAGTCTTGGGATTTTTTGGTCGGAAACAATAACTAATTGGTTGTTCAAACCGCTAACTGGATATTGGTCAGTGCTAAAAGCCAGTAATGTTTTTTTTATATTGTTTTTACAGTGAAACTGGCCATGTGGGAGTCTACCCTTGACACATTTGTAGAGTCTATCCAGTCAATTCCAGAGGCAAGTCATAGAATCCCCTTCAGAAAATTGATTTATGCAAATCCTATAGATGTACCTATGATATGGTTAAACATATTTGAAAGGCATATGTAAATGTTTTGCATATCACGTATCTCAATAGCACAATTATTTTAACACTCTAAAACAATTTTGTTATTTTTCAGATGTTGAAAGCCAGAAAAAAAATCAAACTGTCTCATAATGATGTCATGCAGAAAATTGGAGAGTTATTTGCACTAAGGTAAACGTATTACCCACTTAGATGCACGCCATAGGTATTGTTGTGGTTTTATGGTAACAAAGTATAAAAAGGGCTACACTCCGACAGCTACATGCAAAGTTCAAACACATAGGTAGGAAATGTTTTGGCTAGAAAATGACTTGTAAATATAAATATACATTTTTTGTCCTTACTGTCTTCTTTTAGACATCGTATAAATCTAAGCTCAGACCTTCTCATCACTCCAGACTTCTACTGGGACAGGGAAAACCTAGAGCATCTCTATGATAAAACATGTCAGTTTCTCAGCATAAACCGCAGGGTCAAGGTGGGATTCAAATTTTAAATAAATTAATCTGCCTGAATGTTTGTAGTTTGACATGGTATTGAATAGTAAGCATTGAAAGTAATTGCACCAAAAATTGACCCTGAGGCCTCCTTCACATGCAGTGGCTTATCCCACATGGACGTTTGTCCCAATCGGAGAGCCGTGCAGGTGCAGATGAGGGCCCTTGCAGTTCATTGAGAACCTCAAGTCCATCTGCTGGTGACAGACGGGGCTTGCTGTTCATTCATTTACAGATTCCTGAAAATTAAGGAGGCGGCGGCTGTTAAATTGTGACAGTAGGTTTGTCACAATTTAACTGTGTGTTGTGTGTTGGGAGAGGGGGTACAGGACTGGTACATATTTACATGTTACACGCTAAATACTGTAACATGTTACTAAAGGTGAACATGGGCAGCACATTGGCTAAATGGTTAGCACTTCTGCCTGGCAGTACTGTGGTCGTTAGTTCGAATCCCAACCATGGCACCACCTGCCTGGAGTTTGCATGTTCTCCCTGTGCCTGTGTGGGTTTCCTCCAGGTACTCTGGTTTCCTTCCAGACTCCAAAGACATGCTGGTAGGTTAATTGGCTCCTGTCTAAATTGGCCCTAATATGTGTATATATGAATGTAAGTTAGGGACCTTAGATTGTACGGCCCTTGAGGGTTAGGGACTGATGTGAATGTACAATATATATGTAAAGCACTGCGTAAAACTGACAGCTCTAGTACCTGTA